AGGAGATATAGATGGATTAATTCTTGCTAATGAAATTCAATCGTGGTATTCAAAAATACCAAGCTTACGTCTTTCACAAATTGTGGATATGTATTATAGTGCTCCAGGCTTATTTAATTCTACAATTCGAGCATGTAATCGTAGATCCTTGTTTCGATATGTTGCACCTAATTCTACATTGTGTGCACAGGTAAATTAATTAATATAATTTTTTTTAATTATAATATATATATATATATATATATATATATTTCGTATTAAATTAAAATAATATATTAAAATGATTTAACAAACTATTCTTATTATAGGCATATAGAGCATCTTTAGTGTTAAGTGAAAATTTAGCAAGAGCAACCCTGCAAGCACCTATTATAGAAAAATTTGCTGTTAATGCTGCAAATATATTATCAACGTATATACGTTAGTATTACATAAACTTGTTTCATCTCATTATACATATACACATGATCAATATACTTAATTTTTAAGAAATTTCTATTTATCTTTTATAGCTTCATCAATGAACCAAGATCTGGAATGTCAAGAAACAGATCGTTTATTTGATCAGACTACAGTCTCTGTGGACTTAACTATTATTCTTGATACAAATTGGCCTTTTGAATTTTTACAACCTATACTCGCGTAAGTTAAAAAAAAAGCAATGAAATAATTTGTTAAATGCCTATTTACATATCTTTGTTTTTCTTGCAGATATATATTAGACAAAATTGACATTAATCAGTACAATAGCAATTTTACTATACTTAATGGATATGATGGAAATACAATGATTAATAGTACTAATACTATTTTAAATTTCTACAATTTTAATTCATCTCATTATACTAATGGTATGTTTACTAGATAAACTAGATAAACTTGATCTTTGTTATTTACATCATCTAGAACTGAAATAATAAATCAAAATAATTATTTACAGTTACTAGAGGTTTAAATCTATCTAAGTCAATTAAAATGTTAAGAACTTTAGAGTACGATAAACTGAATAGAGAGCGTAGTGAAGGTATAGGAGGAAAACCATCAAATATGGTATTAATAATGCCATATAATGCACAGTTATTTCAATCTGACAAAGAATATTGTATAGAACAACTTAAATATATGCGTGAAGAAATTCCAGGTTACCAAAAACTTCTATACATATTTCTCAATATATTTTGTTATATACTCTTTAATCTTTTTTCTTATTTATTAATTTGTAAATGTGTTCTTGTAGATACTACTGTCCTTATTTTAACTTATGGATCAAAAGATACATGGATAAATATAGTAGAAAATTCTGCAACAGATTTGTTCTCAGTAGGGTTGGGAGATACTAGAGATACTTTGGCACCGCTTGATAAATTGATTTCAAGAATAAAACAAAGTAAGATAAAAATGAAATACAACATATAATATTCATAAAATATTATGAAATAAATAAATGTTGTAATAAGCATGATATAAAAACATTAATTGACAAAAAAATTGCAGTTCCCAAAAGATTAATTAATACACAATGTGGTGCAAATTATGTCCCACTTGGATCTTCAAATTCATTTGTGGATTATATTCAACCACATAAAATTAATTTTTATAGACTTCATCCTAATTATTTCTTTTCTCATGAAACTACAGCTATAATAAAGGTATTTAACCTATTAAATATATATATATATTTAATATATTATATATATATATATATAAATTAAATAATCTTAAAAGATTTACATGTACAATTTTAATAATAATGTATTTTGTAGATTCTAGGATCTGGATGGGGACCTTTAAGAGTATGCACATCAAGAAATCTATTACATGTTAATGCAACAGAAGCTAATCAAGCTGCTTCTTGCATGTCAATAAACAATAATGAACATAGTATTTCAATTTCTTGTGGTGATGTTACTTTTATTCATGAATGTCAACCATTATATTTATCTGTAACTGCTAATTCTTCTGATACATCATATCAATGCACAGGTACATGAATATAATGACTATGTATTATGTGAAAATATTAGAGAACAATTAAATAACTATTTCTTTTTATATTGCAGATAAAAACAAGTGTAGATACCCACATATGATAAAGTATACTATTTCATACGAAAATTTAGTATGCACAAGTAATGTAAATAATATAGCAATCAATCCTATTGTTTTAATGATAGTAGTAATATATTGTCTTTTATCAAATAATAGATCTTATTAAGAACAGTTATTTTATTATAAAGATAATCCATGATCAAAACATGAAACTACAAATTAATAATTTTCTAAAAAATCATTATAAATTAAATTACAAAAATTTTATTTATTATTAAACATCTTTTAAAAACTCATATTAATTAATAGATAATAAATATAACGAATTAAAATATTTTAACTAAATTTTCCTTCAAATAATAAGAGATTATTTCTTATTATTTCATTAAGCATGAGACGAGTAATTGTTCATTTTTTTATATTCATTTCATATTCAACAAATTATATTAGAAGTTTGTATTACATATGTACAGATATTTAAGAAATTTTATGAAGATTTTATACCAGAAATAAATCAATTACTTAATAAAAAAAAGTGTAATGTACCTTTAAATGAAGGGCTTGCAAAGTGTTACTGTATGGTCGATTCCACAGGCAACTTTTTTTACTTGAGCTCCTATGGACACCTTAAATAAAATTACAAGAAATGAATACAAACTGTATGAAGAATTACAGTACAAAATACACATCTTACCTTGAAAGGAAAAAATTGATCATTATGATGGCCTAATCCTAAGGATCCAAATTTATTACATCCCCACATATATAGATCTCCTGTATTTGTTACTGCTGCTAGATGACTTATTCCACAATATACATTTGTAACCTAAGAATAAAAATGATTGCATTATATTAAATAGATACGTACACAAATCTATGTTAAATAACTTTAATTTTACCTTAGTATTACGTGAATACGCATTATTACCAAATAATGTGGATGGAATTAGTGTGGGTTTTAAAACTCTCTGTACTTGTGGTCCAAGTCCAAGAATACCATATCCCCATACATAAACCTCTCCTGAAGCTGAAAAATACAATATACAATTATTATGAATAAAAATTTTTCTATTGTTCTTTTTTTCCCTAGTTAATATTATGTTTTATTCTTACAATTTAGTATCATACAAAAACAACCTCCTGCAGCAATGTCAACAATATATCCTACTTCTTTAGGTATATTCAGTTCTGTGGCAATGTTTATTTGATAATTATCACTGTCCATTAATAATTGCCCATATTCTGAATTTCCCCATCCAAAAACTTTCCCTTTATCTAATATTTAAAATTAAAAATGTTATCATAGATATATTCTCTGAATGAACCTTAGCATAAATATTGATTATCAATATATACCACTAAGAGCTAATACACAATCTGCAACACAAGCAACTTTTATTATATGTTGCCCTGCTAAATCCCCTTTAACCAAACTTGGTTGATGTTCATTTTGATAATGTGCCAAGCCAGTTTGTCCATCAGCACCCCAACCAAATGTATACACTTCACCAGATTCTGTTAAAAGTATGCTACGATATAATGTATATTAATAAGCAATGTTAATAAATTTTTATATGCATGAACATGTAAGTAGATAATCTCAATGATAACTATTTGCTTTATACCTATGATCTTGGCCAGCTGTTACACTAGTTATACGATTTCCTTTTATACTAGATATATGATGAACTACATTACTATTACTATAATTTTCATTTATTATAATTGGTCTACCGCATTGACCATATCCATTGTTGCCTAATGTAAAAACTCCTTCATTTGTTAATATTAATAAATGCGCCCTTCCAGCTGCTATACTTATAACGTCAGCTGTAGAATTTTTAAGTGGTAGATTTATTGGCCTTGGAGAAGTTACTACATTTAAAGAAATTTTATTCGCTTCTTGTAAACCTAAATAATGAAACATAATTTGAAATAAAGATCTTAAATAATATATCAATTTTACTAGCATTTATTATTTAATATAATATTTGATTACCAAGTTGGGAATCTGTGTTTATTCCGCTACCATAAATGATATTTTTATCTGAGGAACTTATTGCAAAAGCTGTAAAACCATAACCGCATGCAACATCTATTACTTTATGTTTTTCTGCAAATGTTAAACGTCTTGGCATTGGAAGATAAGCTATGCCTTGTTTGAACAATGTTTTTTCAATGGTGCCTAAAGCTCCATGTTCTGCAAGACCCCAGACATATACTCTGCGATCACCTGCCTTACTGATGGGATATTTAAATACTGTAATAAAGTTATAACAAAATTTATTTTAAATCTTTTTTATATAATTAGAAGATGAGACTAAAATAAATACTATATAACATTTTTAAACGTTCATGGGAGTAAAAATAATAACATTTTAAGGTTATTACCAGGTAACACGTCAGGTTTTATTTTTCTTCTTTTTGATTGTCCTAATTCTATATTTTTATTGATTTTTTTAAGTCCATTGATTACTCTCAACATAATTTTAATTACAAAAAAATACAAATCTGAGAAATAAATATTATATATACGCTATACATCCCTAGTAGATCTCATTCTGGGAATTCATATTTACGAGAATTTTAGTCCAAAATTTCAATTAGGTTAACTACTCATAAAAAAATTAAAGCTAACCATATATAAAAAAGATGTTAAATATTAAATATTGAATATAGAATATTTTTTGAATAAAGCAATGATCGACTAGAATTCAAAATTTTTCTAGGGATAGAGTGAGGAAGATACACGTATACGTGAACATAAATGTTGGAATTTGGCGCCTTACGATCGGTCCACCATTTTCCGGAAATACCAAATTTTTGCTCAGCAATTGGAAGGTTAAGTCATTGTGGATTTGGGATTAGATCGCATTAATGGAAATAGACTTTTGCTGACGAACACGTTCGTAGATACTCTAGATATAATTCGTGGCAATTCTATGAGTGAATTGGCAGCCATTTTTAAACTGCTCACTTACTATAATAGAATAGGAAGGATGTGGACAATGAAAATTGCATTGAGATAGTAATGTAAACGAATGACACTAAATGGCTTGTAATTGTCCGTGAAGGAATAAAGAGTTCGTATTGCCCAGTGCGAGTTTCGTTTCGAGTGGACGGTACTCGAGCGAACGAACTCCATTCCCGTGAAATTGATGAAATGGTGAACTGTCAACACCTTGCCAATCTCAGAATATGATTTTATTTCGTACATTTGCCGAGAGTTGGGGCGGCTTTGCCTGAGGTTCGTCGGTGAAGATCGCGGATTACGCGACTGGTCATCGAAGCGAACGGGCACCGGCATGCAGCAATGTCGGTTTTAACATGCGAGAGGAGAACGAGTGCAAAGATCGTGGCTCTCGAATGCTAAGTTCCTATAATAATGGCAGATAATGTACACAGGAAATCGCATAAACTGTCGGATGGTAGTAGAAAGATATCTAACCCAGTGCATCGTACAACTACGGAGACAATTCGGTTAGGAGAGCCAGACAAACTACACCAGCCGGTTAGCTTGACCACTTCAAGCAACGTGACCAGTAGTAATCAGTGTCGAAAAAAGACGTCGTCTTTTCAAATTACAAGCGTTACAGTCGGTTGTCGTATGAGCAACGATGCCGGCGAAGACTCAAATGACGATTTGGATGAATCCCACACAGAAGATAATTCTGTGGAACATTCGCGTATTACCGACATCGATATCGAGACGCCTAGTTATTCGGAAGATACTTTCTCTAAAGAGGACGTATTTTTCAACACCAGTAATGCTGCTCTCAGTACTGCTCCGGTGATTCCTACCAGTTCACAATATGGACTGGCCATTGTACCCTCAGAAGGAAATAGTGTCAACAATTCGGTCAACGATAGCAATATCAACACTTTAGACATTACATCTGTCACAGACAACAATATTATTAATTTACTATCGAGTAATGCTAAGCAAGATGCTGATTTGCGAGAGGTACATTCACATGGGAGAAATGAACGTTTTAAAGTAGTCAAAATCGAAAGTACAGAGCCATTCAAGAGAGGTAGATGGACCTGCATGGATTATTTGGATCATACGTCAGTGAATCAACCAACAGCTATTGGTACTCCAAAAGTATCAGATCCAAATGAGGTGTGCATATCTTATGGAATAACAGACAGTGGAATTGTAATCCCAGATGCATCTAAACAATCTGTCGTATCTGACGATAAGAGCATTAGTCTTGACGCCAATGGAACAGTCCCCTCTCATCCTGATGTGCATTCATCAATTGGTGTACCGAACAATCCTACAGTTACAAGTGCAAATTATGCAGTAAACAGTTCAATTCCCCCTACTGTACAACATAATCCCACGCAAGTTCAGACGCAAGCAAAAGTTCAACCACCTTCGCAAATTCCTCAATATTTTCAGTCATCCGCGCAACAGCTAGCTTCTCAACCGCAAGGACAGGGATCTACGTTGCCATCTAATTTACAACCCACACATCCAAATAATTTGGGACAACCTCAGAGTATGCCTCAAGGTTCTATACCTATTATAACTCAAACTAGTAGTAATAGTGTTCCCCCTCAACAAAATATGACTCATTCTAAAGAAGATCCATATTTGGGAGTGAGCACGCAAAATCAATCTTTACCCGGTCAAACTGTTTGTCCTTCATCAGTGCAGCAAACTTCTGTTCCAACTTCTCAAGCTCCAAATATACTTGTTACTCAACATCCACCGCAACAGCAGCAACAGCCACAACAATCACAACATCCGCCGCAGCAGCAACAACAGCAACAGCAGCAGCAACAACAAACACAACACCCTCCACAACAACAACAACAGCAACAACCTCAACAGCCATTGCAAACACAGAAACCAATGACTCAGATTTCCGAGCCACTAACTGCCGTTCAAGGAATGCAGGGCATTCAAAGTATACATAAAGTTCCTCAAACAGGTACACAACAATCTTCCTCGACTATTCATGCACCAGGACCGCCAGTACAGCCTCAAGTTATACCAGCGGCACAGATGCAAACACAATCCTCTGGTAGCAATACTCAAGTGCAAATGGCTCAAGTGCCAGCTGCTTGTCAAAATGTTGTGGCAGGAATGCAGCAAGGGACTATAGCATTTCATCAACCTGATCCAGAGCAGGACTCTATTTCAGGCATTGTTACTACTACTGCGACACAATCGGCTGATGCTACTCTCTTGGAATCATTAACTGAAGTTACACAAGGAAGCGATGAACATCATACCCTTGAAGATAATGAAAGGTTTGTATACTTATTTATTTTCATATATTTTTTATTAATTATACATTAAATGTATCTTGTAATTTATTATTAAAATTTGTTACAGTGTGTCGGGAACAAGTGCAGTAGCGATTGATAATAAAATTGAACAAGCTATGGTAAGTAATTTTCTTAATTGAAAAGAAATGAAAATATATGTAATTCTTATAAATAAATAAACTAATGACGATAATACTGTAATGTTTATAGGATCTGGTAAAGAGTCATTTGATGTTTGCCGTACGAGAAGAAGTTGAGGTATTAAAAGAAAAAATAGCAGAACTTATGGACCGTATTAATCAATTGGAAGCTGAAAATTCAATCTTAAAAGCACATGCTACTCCAGAAACATTGGCTCAATTAAGTCAAACAACTGCAAAATTACCCCAGAACAGTTCAGGAAGTGGTCAATAGGTAACCATTGTACATAAGTTTCTATCAATACTTTGTCAGGAACATAATGGATAATATAATTATTGTATATAACTTTACGATTTTTAGAAATTTATAAATAATGAGATTTATTATATTATACATATTAGCATTAGTCTTTTTTTTTAAGTAAATTAAAGATAATAGATTATTTTTTACTATTTCAGTTTATTGATTAGGAAATATATTTAAAACTGTACATTGAATTTTTCTTTCAAAATGGTCAACCGTTTTGGAAAAACATTGTTGCGATCCTAGACACAAGCAAAGACGTATATGAATGCATGCCAGGACTAAACAGCATACATAACCAGAGTTGATATTGTTTTACGATAGAATTGAAGATTTTGAACGTGTTAAAAGAAGATATTTAACGATACGAAATAGGCAGCTAGACATCCTTAATATTATTTTAATATTTGGCTAATTTGGATGATCAAGTCATTAACACAGTCAATGTAATAGTTTAAAAAGAAACTAAATTTTGAGTGGTTTGGATTATTGTTAAGATTTAAATATCGAAATTAAAAAATTACGTCGATTAAAGCTGAAATTATGTCAATAAAATAAAATTTTCATTTGGTTTACATCACACTTGAGGATCTTGTAGTGTACCGTTCTGTATTTTCTTAAAGATTATAATGCCAAAAAGCATTTGAAAGTATTGTTCCTATTACATATTTTAGTTATCTAATGATTTTTACATTGCATTTTATAAGGTAAATCTTGGCACGACACATTTTAAATTTTAGTATCATGGATGTCAAATCGCATAGTTTATATTTCGATACTCGTGTCATAGTCTCGTTTTTAAACTGATATGTATTATATTTAACAACAAACAAGTGTCCAAGAAACTCTTATGGTGTGCATCTGAAAACTCGCAATTTTCTGTCATTTTATGTTACATCTTATATGAGCCTAATAAAAAAATTTTTTCATTGTATGATCATTAGAATTTCTTAAAAGTCTTCAAACATGCTTTTGTCGTAAAAAGCCAAAAAAAGAAAAAAAGAAAAAAAAAAGAAAAAAATAAAGAAAAAAAATGAAAAGAATAATACGTGATAACGAGCCAAAAGATTTATATTACACGATTTAAGTAAATGTAATGTTAATATATTATACATAGCCTATAGAATGTGATAATACTTCTTTGAAAATACAGGTTACTTGATTGATTAGCACAACATAATTTTGGGAAAGTTTATTGGACCACTATAAAGACTAAATATGACACTTTAACATAAATCCTTATCAAGACGAAGACCACTTTATGATAAGGGAAATCATAATTCATAATTACACCTTATAAATTTATAAATGTTATAAATTTTTCTATGAAAGAAAGAAAAACAACACATAACCATTTTCTTATGTCAATATCATTAATGCGACTTTTTCTCTTGGAGCAAGTGTGAATGATGATCACTTGATAAATTCATACAAATCCGAAGTTCTTTGTTTTAATAGCAAGAAGTAGCTTATGCCGTAAAACATGACGAGAGCTGTACAATGGAACGTATAGGCGAGAAATACATGTATTTGCAGTTGGTAGATGAGCATCGTCGGCTGGTCGAATCGTAACACTTGGCATTGGTTGAAAACCATCTTCGCTCGCTGGTAATGCAGGAGACCCTGTCCAAAAATATACCTAAAAAAGATATGAATTAAAAAAATAAAAAATAGACGTCTAAATTTCAAAAGACATAATTGAAAAAATAAAAATATTATTTCTGCTTGTTTCTTGAACAATTCGATATTTATATAAATTTTATGTGCACGTAGCACATAATATCAGAGAAAATGATTACCAAGTCCTGCCGTTCGACATGTGACATTTTTTCAACAATGGACCATAACCATCGCTTAAACTTTACTAATTTTTCCGTTGCTTCTCCAGATTCATCGTTAAACGATGTGTATGATATCAAAACTGACACGTTAATGTCACCAACTCCATTTAAAAGCAGTCTTAAATCTTCGGATGTTAAACCATCCAATGCTCCCTCTGGTAAAACATCAAATACTCCTTCTCGCATTGCATGCAAGGCTTTCTCTTGTACCTTTATCATACGGACTTCCGCATATTTTCGTACATAATCATATACATTATTTGCTGTAACTTCTACGTCCCGACCACTTGATATAAGTTCAATCGAGCCACCACCTTCTTCAGGACATAAATCAATGCTAAAAGTAGGAGGGGAGGGGAGAAAAAAAAAGAAGATTAAATTACATCGATGCATAGACAATATTTCAAAGAAGATATCTCCTTTTTTTTTTTTTTATTTGTATGTTTGTATGTGTATATATTTATTTACCTAAAAGTAAGATCCAATGCGGAGAATAAACTGTTGCTGTCTTTAGTTTCAGCATCGATAACGAGTTGTCTCAAACTTTCATAAATTACAGAATCAAAAAATGCAAGATCATGGAAACGTATTGGCCTTGCTAAAATATACTTAATAACGTGACGATTTAAAAATATTGGACACAACTCGTTTTGTAATAGACATAAGCCTATCAACCTATTAAACAAAAATAAAAAGAAAATCAAGCGATTAATATTAGATATATTTTAAATTATTATTAATTATGAAGATAAATATTTTTTAGATAACTTACCTGCCAACATTCCTAAAAGCATTTAATCGTTCATAACTGGCTCTACCTTGTCTAGGTGTATAAAAGCCTCTTTTATCAGGTGAATAGAAAAGAGGAGCGTTATCGTCTCCATCATCCATGATATTATTCTCTATTTTTTTCTTATTAGCTGCACAACGTTCGGTTAAACTGAATACATCAAGATCTAAAAGTGCTTCGCTAGTTAAGTCTTGGTTATGGCTATGAATTAACTCAAATGCTTCTTCTACTTTTTGTCTTAAAGCATCTTCTGAAGCGAGGAGCATCAATAATTGTGCAGGAGATAATTCAAGTAGCATTCCAGTTATTTTTTCTGCTAATGCAGGTCGTAATGCATGTACCTAAAAAAAAAAAAAAAAAAGAAAAAAAAAATGAAAAAAAATAAAAAAAATAAAAAAAAGGAAGAGACAGAGAGAAGAAAAAAAAAAGAAAATATATTTTTTTCCTTATCTTCTTTTTAAGAAGGATGCTTACTTTAGGATATAATCTATCACCAAGTTGTTGTTGATGCATTGTCAAATGATCATTGTTTGGATGACTGGCTGGTAAAGGATGTGTATTGGATGATGAACTACCAGATCCAGATGCATTATTTCCTTCCACAGAACTTGAAGGATGAAAGGAACGAGCTTCGAAGGATAATGCTTTACGTGTTTCACGACATTTTCCGGAGGATCTAGGATTCTTAAGTAAAATTTAAAATTATGAAGAAATATTCGTCATAACCTCATAGATCCCGTTTAATTTAGAATGACCTACCTGTCTTCTAAGATCACGATCGCGATCTCTGCTTTTTAATTTTTGTAAAACGTTATATTGTGTGTATTTAGACCCAACCTGTGCTGCTTCAAGATTTGGAAGTTTCTCATTTGCAAGTAATGCCTAAAGATAACGAAAGATCGGATTATTTCTCTGAGACGAGTAGGATATTGTAAATACGATGACTTTCGATATTTATGCATACATTTTAATAGAAAAAAAAAAGAAAAAAAAAAAAAAAAAAAAAAAAAAAAAAAAAAAAAAAAAAAAAAAAAAAAAAAAAAAGATATTTTAAAAATAAATTATGAATTTTAGTATGCATATATTTGAATAAATACATCACATTTACAATCTCCCACTCGTCTTCATTATTAAAACTGTACTTGTGTAATTCTTAAATAAAATTGATTGACAGTAACATTAAATATTACGAGAAAAATATAACATATATTAATATACGTTTTAAATAATTCCTCATATTATAATCTTAATATATATTATCACAAACCTCGGCTATTGCAGTATAAAAACTTCTAGCAACACCTGAACCTTCACCTGGCTCATCTTTAAATGTTACTTTTACTCGATTTACTGCCAAAGGTGGAGCATTAGAAGTTCTTTTGTTATATAAATTATATTGTGTGTTTAATTCTTTCATCGTTTGCACCAATAATTGAGTTCTATCACGTTCAATCTATAAAAATTATGAAATATTCATATTATAAAATATTCAATTACTAGTAATTATTATATCCATATGATACTTATATTTATTTGTTACTATATTTATACCATGAGTAAATATTTAATATCGTATGATATATAAAACTGTGATATAGATTATTACATATTTTATATGATCAATAATATTACCTTTGACAAGGTAATATCTTTTTGTTGGGAATTTCTTAGCTTTTCCATATTTCTACGGAATTTAGCTTCCTTTACAGAGAAACCACCAAGTTCGGATACAACTGATCCTGCTTCTAGACCAACATCTTCCATAAAAACTCGACCAAATAAATCCAATGATAATCTCCATCGTCCTAATAGAATATTATGTGAAATGTTTGTCCCAATAGTTGATATAGTTCTAGCAGATTCCACTGGACTTGTTTCTACTGTTTCGTGTGCAGAAATTTCATGACTAGTTACAGCTGGATCAACTTCTTCAGAAACGTTCTGATTTTCAACCGTTGGAACAACTAATACTTCAGGAGCAGTAGCTTTGTTCAGGTTTGTTTCCTTTGTGAAATGAAAATTAATGATAAATATATAGCTGAATGAGAAAGTAATAAATTGTGTTAATGAAACGAATTACTTACGGATATAGTTCCAGCTCTAACTATAACACTTCTATTTGTTTTACATACATCTTTACCCTTACTATTTCCATTGTCATTTTGATTATTGGTAGATACTATTATAGGAGCTCTGTCTATTTGTTCTGTTACCATAGGCGTTGGACCTTCATATACATGATGATATGATTTAGGCTTTTCCTGAAATAGATAATAATTTATTTATGATCAATATATATATATATATATATAAATAAATAAATAAATAAATATATATATATATATAAATGATGAGGATAGCGTAAAATATTACAACAAATTTTGTAGATCCTGAATCTCCGGCAGAAGCAGAAGGTCGTCTTACTTCTGAAGGAACAAATGTAGCTCCAGGAATGATTTGACTGAATGTAGGAGATGACAAATTATTTTGATTGTCAGCACCACGTGCGGAGAGACCGAGCCTTGTAGGCAAACCTGCTAATGGATTTTGGTTGGCAGCGCCTGTCGGCTGTCGTGGGATGCCAAAGAGATCCTCACGCCTTGAATGTGGCTGCAATAAATGCGGCTGATCAGCTAATGGTAATGCTTCGCTCATAACTGTGTCAAATGGATCGAGAGGCGGACAACCAAGGCATAAGGTAGAATCTGATCTTTGAAAGAAAGGATGTTTTCTTCCTTTAGGTGTAGAATTACTGTTATTTCCAGACCCGCATATGGGAACTTGAAGTAAATCTGGGTAGTCCACAGAATCGGTTTCTAATGCAGTAGGTGCTGGAGAATTATATTCCTCTCCTTCATCATTATCATTTTCATCCTACGAGGAGAAAAAAAAATAAAAAAAAAATAAAGAAAATTGATGCAAGATAAAATAATATTACAAGATAAAATAGTTTACTAACTTGATCATTCCATGTTGAATAATTGGATGACTCTTTTTGCGCTTCGCCTCTTGATGTTAATGGTTCAGAAAGACAACGCATGTAATACACAAGAGCATCGAATACATATGCAACGTGTCTTAACGCGGAAACGTCTAAAACTGGTAAACTGTCTCTGTGTTCTCCATTATGAGCACGCATCAAAGATAAACAGTAAGACAAAAACTCTCGCCTAGCAGAATGCAAATCACCACCTGTAAACAAAATATAATTATTCGTTTCTCTTACCACGAAAAGCGTCATTACTTTTCTTTTTAGGAATCCAGTTTGTACTTAAAAATTAATCGTGCTCCTAGCTTCGGTGGTTAAGCTGGCAGTTTAATGTGAATAAAATAGAAAGTTATTCAATCAACTGAATATTTAGCTATATTATGAAAAATTCAAAACTGCACAAATATAGAAAGCAATAGGAACATATCTTCACACAAACCTTCACGTTCTCTGCTATTCCTAGCAGGTTCACTAACACCAGCAAAACCAACAGTAAGTCTTGTCGAAGCTTGAGGAGCAGAAATATTGGAGCTTGTTGCAATACCACTGCGTTGGTTTCGACTTGCATTTCCTTGTAATGTCAAAGAGAGAGCTGCTGAACTCAATAACCCAGTGAAATTACCGCCAGAAAGTGAAGGAGCATTATTAAGTGGATGTTCAGGATGTGTCGGATCAGCGCTACGCGTCAAAGACACTCCAAACCTTAATTGTGCTTCGGTAGCATCCATAACTGTTAAAAGCCAATCCCATGTAGGTTTTAAATGTGCTTCTAAATATAACTGCAAATAAAAAAAAAAAAGAAGAAAAACCATTTAGCTTCGTAATTAAATTAGACTACTTGAGAAATATCCATGAGAACAGTAAAATTAAACACCTGTAAGTTCAATGCATCTTGAAAGGTAATTTCCATTAATCGTGGTAAAGTAGGAGCCAACGTTTTGTAATCTTGCATCATAACTAATAGATCGGCAATCTGTCGAATTACAATTCCAAAAGCTCGTGCCAAACAACTTGCAGTGGTTCCCATAGTTATAGGTTCTTGTGCAGCTGCAACGGCAGATGTAGCAGTGGTACGTCTCAGAGATACGGGATCGATAAAAACCAAATTACTGCCGCCCGTCACTCGTAAGCCTGCAGTACGCGTACTTGATTCACGATTACGAATAGCCCATTGCATAGAAACTGGTGCCAAATTGTTGCGATGTAAATGGCCAGATGATCCACTGAAATATTCTCATTAAATAATTTATATATTATAAATGTATGTTACAAAATTAATATAAAATATATTATACCTTCTACGTTCCAATTGTTCATCTCCAATTTGAAAATCTTCATTATCTTGTTCGTCTGTTTCACCTGCTTCACTTTCATCATCTTCCTGTTGACTGGATTCACCAGACTCATCTTCGGGAAACAGTAATATTGATCCCATACCACCATCTGAACCTGCAGTAGCTCCAGTTTGAACACTTCTTTGAGCCGATGCAGCATCTTGATTACTGTGATTATCGTCTGAATCCGATTCAGTTTCGGCTTCAGCTAAAAGATCTAATTCTGTATCAGATTCTCCATCTCCTGCCTGTTCTTCCCCAACACCACCTGCATTGCTATCAACTTCACCAAGCGGTTGACCAGCAACAGTACCAGAAACACCTGATTCGTCGTGTTCGCTTATATCTCCATCTATATCCATAGGGACATCTTAAAAAAAAAAAAAAAAAAAAGCATACGATTATGAGTACTTTAATTATAATTATCATAATACGATTATTACCTTCACCACCTTCAACTTCATCCATTGCAGACACATCTCTAGCAATAGTTATATTATTATTTACTTGTTGCGTTTGTAACCCACCATCTAATGTTTGAGAACTAACTCCACTATGAGGTATTAATGGTTCTATAGAAAACAATTCTTCAGATCCATTTATTACTTCCACAGCAGAACTTGTTAACGTAAATGGTGCTGTTGGTCGTGCAACGCCTAATCGTACCGGGGCTATTAATGAATCGGCAGTTTCGCACAATTCTTCGACTGCCAATTTAATTAAAGCTTGAAAAACTTTGCGACATTTCATCAAAGGTTGAGAAGCTTGACTTGCACTGAACATTATATTTATATTATTATTATTTCAACGTGGAAATTATAGAATTATAGAGATAATTTTTTCGACGCAATTTATACCTTTTTCTTTTTGCTGTATTAGGTGCCATTTCGATAGTAAATATTACGAATATTCGAGCTACAGATCTTACAAATCGTCGAGCAACATTGTTTGCTTCTTCTTGACGTCCAGGTATAGAATCATTTTGCAATTCTCTTATAAGAGTAGTAAGCAAAGTATCAAGCATCTAAATAGTATATAATAATATTTTAAGAATTGCTATTTGTATTTCTTTATACAAAAATTCTATATTAAATTAGAAATATACAAATAGTAATAGATAAATGAATAGAAAATTACCTCTGTGCTGCATTTAACAAGTAACAGATGGGTGAATTTATCTAATAATGCGGTACCACTTTGGCGACATAATTGTCCTTGATCTCCAAATAACTGTTCATTACCATTTTCAGAGACCCCTGACATAATCATACATTGAACTGCTGACCAGTCATTTAGTAATCTTTCAAGAGCATTTCGACTAAAACGAGGTGGCTCTAAATCATGATCTGGCATATCAGAATCAGCACCTAATCCTGTTCAGAAATATTGTTATTATCTTGTAAATATTATATCTATATCTATATCTATATCTATATCTATACCTATATCTATATCTATATATATATCATTTATTTATTTTTATATATTTATATTTATAAAAATAAAAATATAGTATACCATCTGATGATGGGGCTTTACGACTCGCAGATGTCGATCGAGGTCGAGTTGCTGGTCTAAATTGACGCTGTTCTATGAATTGCCTTCCTACTGTCTGGGCCAAAAATAATAAAATGCATTCTCCTCGTGAATTGATTTTTGTTGCAAGATCAGTGTTAACTACAAGTCGGCACAAAAGATCATAACGTGCAACTTGATAGCCAGCGATAAGAGCACGACATTTACATTTTTCCCAACAATCGCAATATGCTGTTGGTGATGTCCTTTTAAGTTTGCAATCATGTCCTCTATGGCAAACACGAGCACATTCGGTGCAACAACATAACGATCCTGTTAAACCGCAAGTTCTACATTCAAATATGTCCTGATTGATATGATCTGCGCCTGTCCAGGTAAAGCTGCAAGTATCATTACAGCAAGTCACGAATAAAGGAGATAAATCTGGATTAGCATCAGGAGGTAGAATCATTGCTGAACATTCTTTGGAATCTCTACCAACTTTTTGAATAGTATCTAATAAAATTAAAGCTGCATGATATGCACGAACAGATACTGCAAGCATTAATGGCGTTTGTCCTTGAGCATCCTTTGCTGTAAGTAATTCTTTCAAGTAAGGAGCTAATACATTACTTTCGCACATGTACTTCAGTATTAGCAGCGCGTTATTCCTTCTTTCAACGGAATCTACAATATACGTATTATTGGATGCTGCTCCTATATTAGGTTTATTCATCATAGAAATACTAGCAGCACCTATGCTAAGCAAACTGTCTTCTTCTCCAGATGTATTGTCGAATGCCTCAGGTGGCCAACTCAAAGTTGGTATTGGTTCTTCAATAGGAGCTGAGGTACCATCTACTGCATTTGAGACCAATGCATATCCAATATCTTTATCGCTTTTCTTATTAGAAGTTGGTGCACACATAGTAACACAAGCATGAAGGATATTTCGATTACCATCACAACGTTCTAAGACTATCGATTGTATTTGTGTCACATTACCCTTAAGATCTTGTTCCAAATTACAAAATAATTGTTTTACGCTATCGTAATCGCATCTCAGTATACGTGACATTAGTAGAAGATTGTCAAATGCCAATGCAATCACTGCAACTTGATTTTTAAGATTTGTTGAATTAGAGCAACTTGGTATGGGAATAGTTGATGTTCCAATGCAAACTACTGGGAGTAAATCTAACCAATTTGGATCTCTAATGGCATCAGCACAATCTTTTGCTATTGGATAAATTGTATTGTTTCCATCTCTAAGTATCATAGAACATTCAATATTTTCTCCAGCACTTGTTAGATTAATATTTTGAGGCTGTAATCCCAAGAAAGCAGTAATATCCGAAGGAATATAACAATCTTGAACATATCTTCCTGTACTTAAATTATACACAACATAGCTCAACTTATTCCCACTTTTTAATATAGCATGAATGCCTTGTCCATCGGTTGCAATAGTTAAAAGATTATCACTCGAGCCTTCTACTATATTAACTCTTCTAGGAGTACGTTGGAAGCAATCGGGTGCTCTTGGATTCATCGATGATTTAATAACTTGCAATTCATCTTTTCTTAAAAGCCTACAGTCGGCTAATAATTTGATCAATTCTTCAGCCGTCAAATCTTTAAAATCAGATGTACTAAAATCTTTTTCTTTAGTCTCTTTTTCCTTCTCTTTCGAATCTTTTGAAAAGAATTTAACAGCTACATAGCAACCATCAACTTTAATAACCTTTCCAATAGGAACGGTTTTGACATCTTCTACAAAAACTACGTCTTTCAATTGCCAATCTTCTTCATCTTTTCGTTCAGATTCTCCTTCATTTCGAGGCGTTAAACGTTTTTGTCTTTTATGACTCGTTGTGATGCTACCTGTGTCGCTACATGTGCTGGAAGCAGGCGATGGAGGTGGTGGCATATCGAGTCGATCAGCTGTTTCTTTATGATTTGACTTATTTATTGAAGTATTACCATTTCCATTTGATTCGCGTTTATCAAAATTTGAATTAGGTAAATGTGATCCAGCTGGTAATATTTTAAATCTGCAAGTTGCATCTAAATTCCAAGCAGCTGATAATAGTTGTCCTACTTTTGGTACCCCATTGGCTATTGTAAATCCTATGAAGAAAAAAAAAAAAAAAAAAAAAAAAAGAGCATATTTTGTAAAAACATATATGAAATTTCCTAGAATATTTTATCTACTCTATTATCAAAAAATATATTTAATAATTTACCTATTGCACCAGGTTGATACATTGGACTGTTTTTCATGCAAACGTGTGTACCATAACTAATGTCATTTGATATCACTGTAGATGGTCTATGTTTGCGTGATTTTGCTTTATATTTTTCCCATAACTTTTTGCGCTGAGAAAATGGCAAAACTCCCCTATTTAAGAGGATAAAAAAAAATTGATTAATTATAGTTTCTCTTAATAAATTAAATAACTTTTGAATTAAACAATCAATAAAGAATATATAATACTACTAACCACCAATATAATGCGCCACTTTCAAGTTTTGCTACAGTATATAAAGCACATGTATGAAGTGATACAATTTTGTCCAATGTAAATTCAGTAAAAGCCTGTGCTGGATGTTCCAGGCGAGAGGCTACGTGTCCCAAAAGTTCGTCTAACCACGTAGCTACCTTGCCACTTTCTGTACTAACAGAACAGCGAATTGCTGTTGCCGATATATTAACTATTTTTTCTGTCATCAATGCTAGTGGTATAGTTTTTGGATGATGAACATTTGGATTCTAAACTCAAAAAATTGTATTATCATCGTGTTTCATTTCCTTGCTTTAATTATAAAATGATATGGGTATACAAATATTATAGTCACCTCTAAATGCTTGTATGGTTCAGGATCGGACCATTTCCATTGATACAATTGTCCGGAAGTGGAAACAGCTATCAATTCGCTGTAAAGAGCAGCAATTTGAACAAAACGTGGAGCAGGTTCATTACTACGTTCATGCCACCATTCAAGTTCTTCTGATATCCACAAAGGGCTTTGAGAAGCTAACTCTTTTTTCTTGTTATCTAAAAAAATAGAAATATATTAAATTATTTTTCTACTTGGTACTTTCTTTAATACTAAAACGAAGAATAGTGTAAAAATTGAAAACTGTATATTCCGATCAAAATATATATTTACCAGGATCTTTTTCCCAAGAATCTTTTAAAGCAGTTTCTAACCAACGTCGTGGCCCATAATATTGACGATCCCTCCATCTGCTAAAACTATCACGATCTCTATCACGTTCAGATGAACGTTCTCCTTCTCTGTCATTACCAAGTCTTCGCGAAGAACTTCCACGACTGAAAAATACGATATCTATTTTTTAATAACTATATATAAATTGAATTTGAGTTCTAATAAAATTAATTACTGTCTTATGCCTGCATAACCAAACATATCCTCAGAAAACATAGAGTCTGCATCGATTATAACAGAATGTTCATTACTGAAGCCTCCATCTAATAAGGATATAAGATCTTCTGGTACATAACTATCTGCTGCATCATCAGCATCATCGCCTTCTTCATCATCTCGTGATAAAAGATTATTCACTGCTAAGTTCACATCTAAATTTGTACGCTATGAAAATATATTATATTTGTAATTTATATCACATTATAAGATAATTGATAATTATATTGAAAAATAATAACCTGTAATTCTCTGATAATTAAATTACGACTTTTTCCTTGTAGTACTACTTGAGCTTGAGATATCAAATCTTCCGGTACAAATGGAGCAGGAACTGAAGCAATAGGACGTGAGCTGTTACCACTTCCACTTCCCATGATCACTCCCGGAGGCCCTATTCTACCACTGCCACCGCTACTTCCACTATTACTACCACCTCGAATAGCAGAGCTGCTTCTCATGATCCTTGCTCTTGAACGAGAAATACCTGCTCTACTACCGCTTCCACTACTTCCACTACCGCTTGGAGCAGAATTAGAATTTCCAACATGATTTTTAGTTGTACTGAAATAATGTAACATACAGGTATCAGTTTCATCAATGAAAAATTCAGTTTATTAAATATTTTAATTTTTCTTCAAATATAGAAGCAGCAATGCATACTTTCTGTTAGGTTCATTTTTACTTAAATCCAGTCGATCAGACAATACTGTAAATGCAACACGACATATTCTATTGTCCTCTGTGAGTAACGCTATATGAGTTGGCCCAACCACAATACGTTTTATGGAAACTTTTAATCCATTAAATGCAGGCAGTGTAACATATCCATACCTATTGATCTTCTCTGCAACTTCTTTCAACCTTAAATAGAAGATTAATTAATAAATTATAATATATGCTAATGTTCAAATAATAGATAATAATCATTCTTAATTTATTTAAAAATAAAGTATTTTTTTCCTTTGTATAATATTAAATATTTTATATCATTAAAATATTTAAACCATTAACATTTTAGCAAAAACTTTGTATTAAATGAAAATTTCATGAGAAATACAAAAATAATATACATTTGTTAATAATAAATGTAAAATATATATTGACAGAATTATTTATAATATATTCTAAAAAAAAAAAAAAAATGAATTTATGAAGATGATGGTATGATGTATCTTTAATTCAATTTTATAAATATGTATATATATATATGTGTGTGTGTGTATATATATATATATATATTATTTAACAACATACATCATAATATTTTACATATAACTAATTAGAAAAGAATATATAAAATAGTCAACAGAATTATAAATATGAGCATTATACAATAATATAATATTTATGAAAATAATACATGCAGTAAATAATTTAGAATAATTAATTAGTTTATATGAAGTATATATAATAGTAATAAACAATAATTGTTGCTTTTATTTCATATATACTTTTGTATTTATATTAATAAATAAATATATGTTAAAACATTTACCTCCTATTAGAATAAAAAGAAAAGCAAAGAAGCATACAAATATAATATAATTTAATAGATTGTAATAAAAGTTATCAAAATCATTAGAAATTATAATGTAAGTCCATTAATAGTAATTTCTTGTAGAAATGTATTAGAAATATATGTTATTAGTATATTGTAAAATTTATCTATATTTCATGAATGCATTAGATTTTTATCTTTAGATTTTTTTTCTTTAAAAAATATGCTAGTTTTGTGCAATTCATAATTGATATTGATATAAAGTGAACTATGCTATTATGATTCATTTATTAGAATATATATGACGTTGAATATAAATGAATCGAAATTGCGCAAAATTAAATTTGTAATGGTGATCATTAACGTATTGTTCAATTTTTCCTTAATGTCTTCTTATTAAATAGATTTAGAAAAATTCGAGAATCGAGACAAATAATTCTTTAAAAAGTAAATTAAGAAGGAAGTGTTTCGTTCGAGTAGATTAAAAAAAAAAAAAAACGAACTATAATGGTTACGACAGTTTGGTGACGCATGAATAAAAGAGGTAGTACGGATTAAATTCCATGATAGAATAGTCAGCAGACATTCTAAAAGATACATTAATGATAGCGTACGGAATGCGTCGGCTTACCTATCATTAAGTTGATCATCGGTACCCGGTAAAGGATGAACGACAAAGTGTATCGAGGTCATTTTAGTTTATTATCGTACCCTTTTCTAGCCGAAATATATCTTAAAACTTGTATACACAGAATTTCACTACACCAGCGAAACGATGTTCTTCAGCCATGTTTCTGAAGGAAACATCCAGTTCTGTGTTCCTAAAAGTAATATGGCCGTACTCTCTTTTGATGTATTCTCAAATACACTGAAGATTATCTAATGCAATTACTTATGAAAAACCAACAAAGTATTTATTTTTTCTTTTTTATCCGAATGAAAAAAAAGGCCGTTTGTACTTGATGTAAATAATATCGTATAAGTTCCGCTCGGTGCGTATACATCCGATGATTATGATGTTACAATGAGAAATGCACGATTACATCGATTTGACGTGACGTCACTCCGTAGAAAACACTAGAAAAACATGTTTGGTATCCGTTAGACCGAAAAACCTTTTTAATGAATGATTAACAATTATTCTTATTTCAAAAATTTCATTCATTTTATTGAATTATCACAGTTATTTATAAAAATAAATAAATTTATTTTTGTTACTAGAAATAAAAAAAACTTCGAAGAATAAAAATAATTCTTTCGTAAATAACTAATGAGAACAATGTGATAATAACTTAAGTCATAATTTTATAAATATTCATCTAATAATGAAATATTAACTTTATCGTAAATAAAAACCTTTTATCAGAATTTATATAATAAACGATTTATATCGTAAAAATACAAAATGTTCAAATAAGATATTACTTTCCTTTTTGGTATAATAGGACATTTGCTGTCATAGAACAGTTCTCATTGGTTCATCATTTTTCGAGATACAAAAGAAACTTATCGTTTTTAATATATTTTACAATTGAAATTGAAAATTTTTCATTCCATTCGAATTCATTTATACTCTGTATGAAAATAATATTTCATCTTTAACAATTTTAATAAGTTTAAAGCAATCGATAACAATATTATTGTACGTAATTATTTTTCACTAACCAATCAGAAATGACTTATAATGAAATGAAGTCATTGATAGGTGGATTTTTGGGATTACAATCGATTACAATATGAGGGCGAATTTCTATGAATATTATTTTAAAAATATTATTCAAAGATGAAACTTTCCGATATAAAAAGATGATTCAAGAGAATATAATGAAGTATAACGAAAAAGAAAGAGAAAAATTCCTATAAAATTAATAAGACTTAATGCATAATACAAAAAAGTAAGACGTATACATGGAGAAAATAATAATTAACAATGAACGTGTTTGCGTATAGTTACGGGAAAAAAAATTTTTGAATTGTATAAAAAATGAACATTAAAAAAAAAAAAGAAAAAAAAAAAATAGAAAAAAAATAACGATCTTATTATGATCAAAAGAAATTTCATATAAAATTATGCAGTAATAAGAGTTATAGGAGTGCATTGACCTCAGAATCGAATGGTTGATCCGTGGTTGATTGGTCACTTTTTAGCATGGTTTTACGCAGAAGCGAGTATAGGAGCGCATCTTATTCTATATCGCCAAATGAAATTCTATATGCTAAAGAGTTAAGCGAAATAATTCTTTTTTTTTTACAATGTTAACAATTTCATTTAATATCTAATAATAACAACGTCGAAAAAGATTTATAGTGTTAATGAAAGAAAAAGAAAGTCAAAGAGAAAAAGGTAAAGAGAGTGAGATAGAAATTGCGAATCATCTCTTCCGAGGTCTCTTTCTTAACACTTTGTAGCGCATCCGCGTTTCACGATTCTCTGGATTATTTTACGTTTGTGTACGTATATATATATATATATGTGTATATATATATATATACACATATCTACGTACTCGGTTTCTCTGCGAGACCATCGGATAACGTGTACACTTTCAAAGAGAGCTTTTAGAGTATTTCGAATAATTTTTCTTTCATTTCGATCATCTTCCAAATTTTTCTAAAAATAATTACGCTATACATAACGCATAAAAAAACAATTTCTTTTCAAAGGAGATCTCGAGATTTCTACCATTTGTTTTTCTTTAAGTCAAATAAATTTGACTTCATCAACGAAGAAAGAAATACATCCAATACGTTCATTTTAGTTCTGGCAGGTAAGTGATTATATTCGTTCAATCTGCTCTATAAAACATTTTTAGAAAGTTTCCTTGTTCTATGTATGAAATATCCTCTCATTGTTATATATTAAGATTAATAATACAACCAAAGATATAAATAAATATTAATACATTTTTATTATGGGAATGATTTGTAACAGAATATATTCGTATATGTGATTATACAGCTGGTATTTCAGTTATATATTTTTTTAGGTTGACTGCTCTTTTATTAAAGGTGTTTCAAAAGGTGTGCAAAAAAATAAGTTTTAATTGATTATTATAATTAATGAATAATGATTACATAGCATGTTTTTCACATGCAAATTTGTATTTCTTTGATATAAGAAAATATATCAATGGTATTTATTCATAATAAATCTATATGTTTTTCTTTTTTTTTTTTATACAGAATGGCACGTGGACAACAAAAAATACAATCCCAAGCAAAAGCAGCAGAAAAAGCTGCTAAAGTAAAGAAACAACAAGGACATAGTGCGAATGAACAAAAAAAGGCAGCGCAGAAAGCATTAGTTCATGTATGTTCAGTTTGCAAGGTAAGAATATTTGGATGTATCTTTATTTATTTTTTTTTTTTTTAATATATATTCTAGGTAAAAATTTTACCCTTGTAACTAAATGAAAATTATATTTTCATTATTATTTCGTTAGGCTCAGATGCCAGATCCAAAGACTTATAAGCAACATTTTGAAAACAAACATCCTAAAAACGAACTACCTGACGATTTGAAAAATATATGAGGGTAGGAATGTCTGCAATGGATCGCACATAAGGAGATGCAAAAAGAGAGAGAGAGAGAGAGAGGGAGAGAATAACTACAATTGAGTGATATAGTTTAAGATTCATCCAATATTAAAATAGTTTCAAAACAAAGAAATAAACAACACCCCATTAGTGTTTTTAAGAAACTGTTTCGCAGTTACAGAGATGAATTATTATGCACATTTTAAACATTTGCGCATAATTCATGATGTGCTTGTGGTAAATTTGATTTGTAAAAAAAACTTACATTATTCATAAAAATCATACCTTAATCACACTACTTTTTAATATAGCACGAATGCATCAAAATCTGTACATTGCTAAATAAATAATTTAATGACTTTAGTAAAATAATAATTTCGGAATATGTGACTTAATCTAATAGATTATAGAAGACGATCGATCTTTTGTCTATTTTAAAATTAGAGATTGCATTTGGAATATAACAAAATAATATTACAACTTTTACAGATTTATATAATCTGAAGGGAAGATTATTAAATAGATTATTTAAACATTAAAATTTCATTTAAGAAATATATTAAGTATGCTATTGAGTTTTTAATATTCATAAAATCATTACCACATCAAATAATATATTTTCAGATCATCCGCTTGTGTTGTTTCGTTAAGTTGTGTTTATCTTGAAAGAATGTTAAACTATAAAAAAAAACTGCCAATTTAGAGAGATTGTATCGATTATTATCGAAGCAAATATTATATAGTTGAAGTCCTTTCTATGTAGAACTTTGTCAATTTAAGGATAATTTCTTTTAAAATCACAATTTTAAAACTTTAACATGGATGAATTATATGTTAAAGAGAGAAGTAGAAAATTGTACTTAAATTGTTAATGTTATAACATATGGGATACTTGATAATATATAAATATTTATATATATATATATATAGATCAAGTGAATTTAATTTGTCACATTGTATGCTTCATTTGCCCATGTGTGAATATATGAATGATCATCATTTAACATTAATTAAAATACAATATTCTTTTAGTATTACTCTGTAGAATTTACAGTAATACGTTGTACATTGACTTTTCAAAAATGATTTCTATAATTTTCAAGAGGCATACATTTCAAATATATTTATTTGTAATCTCTATTAAGTTTAACATTTGTATTGTGAATAAAGTTTAGAAATAAACTCTTATATGTATTCTATATTTTATTACAAGTATATTATTTATATTACAATATCATATAGCTATATGTTTTATTTGATTGCCATAAGACATAAAGACATAAATATAAATAGGTTTTTTATATTATATATTTATCTGAAAAGTAAACATATTTTGTTGTGATAGAGACTGTACGATAGTTCGTCATTCAATATAGAAATGTAATATCAAATGTGTAATTAATTTATTTAAAAATAAATTTTTAAATCTGTTTGTTTTAATAATGCTTAATATAAGTTATAAATATAAATGAATCATTTTTAAAATTTAAAAATGGATAATGTCCTTCGATTAAAAATACGCACGTAAAATCAATTAATTTGTCGTTACATTTATACAATGCACGTTGATAAAGAAGCTTAATAATTTAAAGATATTTTTATGTAGAATTATTTTGAAAATATACATTTTCATTAGGAAAAGAAAGTTAATATTGTTTACAAAAAAAAGAAAAAAAGAAGAAAAAAAAAGATTAAAATATAAACACTTTATCGACTGTATGATCGTTATAGTAAGAAAAGGAAAATATTACATCATGTTACGAAGAAATCGATCATTCGTGATTAACACGTATTCATTACACGCCACGCAAGAGAGTCTCAATTTGTCCAGAGTATATATAAGTGTCTGATGAGCATTTGATTCTTCAGTTTTCATCTAGATTCAGTGTAGTTTTTACAAAATTCCTTCTTGCTTATCTTAATATCAATATCGTAAAGGAATAAACAAGTGTCGTATTTAACGAGAGCAGATATAGGTACGAAATTCAAACGTTATAATATCAAAAAGATATTTTATATAATTTATTCTTTTCCTTTTTTCTTTTTTCTTTTTCTTTACTTTCTCTCTCTTTCTCTCTTTTCTTTTTTTTAATCTCACCAAAAATCAATACTTTTTATTTTTAATATTAATATTTTATGAAATAAATTCCAAAAATATCTCAATCAAATTAATCATTAATTTATCGTTAAAATAAACAATCATATTTATCGATAATTTTTATTCCTTAATAATGATCTATTGCTATGATATTTGCAAATATATTTATAAGATAATACGTGATTCAGATGTTTTTCTATCTTTTTCCTTTTTTTCTTTCTTTTTTCGAATCTAAAAAGAATCCATTTGATATGATAAATAATATTTACGAAATAATAATAAGTTGAAAAATATCTTATTCATTCACATAGTTAATCTACTATTAACTATTAGGTAAGAAATTATGAGATAATTAATATGAAAAGATAATCTTGAGGCACGTTACAAGTGGTTCTTAAACATAAGACATCTTTCGATAAATTCATACGGTTAATCCCAATCTATGACGATATCAAATCACACAATGTTTCTAAATATCATCGAATACACCTGAATAGAATAATTTCTTTTCTCTCGAGTTAAGACCAATGAAGCATCGAATACACCTGAATAGAATAATTTCTTTTCTCTCGAGTTAAGACCAACAACACATCAATCGATTCAATCGATGATTTTTTTAAAACAGTCGAATAATTTCTACGGAGTTAATGATCGATAGACAAAGCGCGGGCTATTTGAATTTAAAATTATAAGATAGAGGAAAATTTACATGTTATGTCTTGTGTATAGAGATATATGTGTTATATTGACGTAAGAAAACAAAAAAAATAAAATAAAAAAAGAAAGAAAGAAAAAAGAAAAAAGAAAAAAAGAAATTCATTTGTGTTACACAGTAATAGGATAGAAATAAAAATGTAAATAAATTTTGTTATCATCTCTTTGAACTTTTAGGTTATCGCTCGATAGAATGATTGTTTTTTTTTTAATAGACGATCAAAGAGAGAAAGTGAAATAGATACAGATATACATACATACATACAACATATATATATATATATATATATATATATATATACTCAGAGAGATATTTTATACAAACATACATATATATAGGGAGAGAGAGAGGGAGAGAGAGGTAGAGAGAGAGAGAGGGAGAGAGAGGGAGAGAGAGAGAGAGAGGGGAAGATAGTAAAAATTTCGTAAGAAAAACCGATCTTCTTTTTTTTTCAGCGATTTTTGAATATCAAATAGCAAAGTACCGCGATGATGGATTCTGTTTTTTTAACACGTTCGCTCGGTACACCAGCGGAGGGTGTAAGAGATCAATATGCCGATGGAAAAGCTGCAAAAGTATGGGAGGTTTTCATCGGCGATAAAAATCAAAGGACACAAAATTATCGTGACTTTTTGGTGGGTCTCCTTAAGAGAAAAGGTTGCCATAGAATCTTAGATGTTGCCTGTGGTACAGGCGTGGATTCGGTGATGCTCCTTGAAGAAGGCTTCGAGGTCGTCAGCGTTGATGCTTCCGATAAAATGCTCAAATATGCTCTCAAGTCCAGATGGGAGAGAAGAAAGGAACCAGCTTTTGATAATTGGGGTAAGAAAAGTTATCTTCGTTTAATTATTATTTATCGTTTGCAAATAATTTTTTCTCCGTTCATTCGAATATCTCTCCTTTTTTATTTCTTTTTTATTTATTTATTTTTTCTTTTTTTTTTTTTGTAATATTACGTACGACTGTATAATTAGAAATTTTAGAGATGAAAAGAAAATGTAATTTTTCAAATGATATGAAAATGAAAATTGAAATCTGATGAAATTTCAACGGATCTCGTAATTGATTATTCGTCATGAAGATTTCATTATGAGATTATTGTGAAACGAATAATATGAGATAGTATTTATTATCCGTTATTGTAATTAATGAAAATATTTCTATTATATCATATTTTCTTATCTACCGAGTAAATATGTATTAGTAAGAAAAGGGTCGGTATGTTATCGACGGAGGTTTAATCGTGATGCTCCTTATCGCAAACTACTCTTTCATCATTTTCTTTTTTTTTTTATAATAATTGTTATTAAATTTTCGATAGCTCTCTCTCTCTCTCTCTCTCTCTCTCCCTCCCTCCCTCCCCCTTCTCTATCTCTCTCTCTCTCCTGATTCGATAACAAATAATTTTCTTACTTTTTATCTTTCTGATTCGATTTATTTATTTATTTATTTTTTTTCTTTTTTAGTCATCGAAGAAGCAAATTGGTTGACATTATCGAAGGATATCAGTCATCTGATCGGTGATGGTTTTGATGCTGTTATTTGCCTTGGAAATAGTTTTGCACATATGCCTGACTCCTTTGGCGATCAGAGAGAGCAAAAGTAATATTAGCTGCATAAATAATTTCGTGATTTTAAATAAATAAATAATATTTTTCTTGATAATAAATCTAATTACTTTTTTATCTCATTAATTTTTTAGACAAGCCTTCGCTAACTTTGAACGTTGTGTCAAACCAGGTGGATTGTTTTTGATCGATCACAGAAATTACGATTATATTATACAAACGGGAAACACACCGCCAAAATGTATATACTATAACGTGAGTATCGTGATAGTAATATTTTTTACATATTAATAAATTATTATTAATAATAATAATAATAATAATAATAATAATAATAATAATAAAAATAATAATATACATTTTTTCAGAGTCGACATATGACTAATATAAAAACGTCAGTCCTATTCATATCAGGCAAACCAGCAATCGTGACTTTAGATTATATGATCACTATCGATGAAAAAACAAACAAAAACAAATCGGAAAACGTTAATGAATTTAGGTTATCATATTATCCTCACAGATTGAACGTTTTTAGCGATATGCTTGCAGAAGCATTTAGATTTAAAGCAAAACATACGATATACGCTGATTTTAAGCCAATGGATATGGTAAAGAATCCTGGATTTTATATTCACGTACTGGAAAAGTATTAGTTAATTAATTAATCTCTTTAAGAGATTCACGAAAGGAAAGGAATTTCACGTCGATGTGTATTTTTCTAATACTTTTTCGACGATACGCAGCATACGCCGTATTGCGAGAGATGGAATTTTTATTATAGGAGTTTAAGGACGATCTCTTAAGATACATACGTAATTAAAGATTAACGTATGCGAATTATTCTCTTTTTTCTTTTTTTTCTTTTAAACGATTAAGAAATAAAAAGAAAATTGTAACTCGAAGAGTTCAAGGAAAAAAAAAAAAAGAAAAATAGTCTAAAACAATATCGCCCATAAAATTATATTACATTACTACACGCTAAAGAAAAACTTCATATGATCGTCGAGATGTTATTATTCATTATCATTGTTATGATAATATAACGTATACTTACTATATATTTACGGAGATGCGTGGTGGGTGTTCGATGAATAAAATACTTGTTATCAATTTTGATCTTTTTTTATTATAAGTTCGAAAGCAGTATCTCATTGAGTATTCTAGCCAGGCTTTGTTCGATGCTACAATTTGATTTTTCAACGGTGTTTCGAGCGGTCATTGACGAGGATTATTTTCAAGGACGAGCTCGCTCTGTATATCTTCAGCACCTTCAGTCTTACGGCGAATTGCTCATCCTGAAAGAGACT